AGATATCTCTCCAGGCCCTGTAATTAAAAAACAAAACAAAACATTTTGGAGGATGAGGGGCAGGTTGAGACAAGGTCCCATGTAACCATGCTGGCCTGGAACTTGCTAGGTATGCAGCTTAGGCTGATGTTCAATTTCTTGTCTTCTTGCCTCTACTCTACCTTCCAAGTGCTGGAATTACAGGCATGAGCCACTACTTCCTGACTCTTTTAAAATTTAATGAATTTAAATTCTATTTTGAGCTTATAATCATAGAGAAAATTTGAAAATAGTTTTTAAATAGAAGTACTATTTTAATATAGAAAGTAGAACAATTAGCTGGGTGTGGTGTGCATGCCTTTAATCTCAGCACTCAGGAAGGCAGAGGCAGGCAGATCATTGTGAGTTTGAGGCCAGCCTGGTCCACAAAGAGAGTCCTGGACAGCCAGGATTGTTACACAGAGAAACCTTGTCCTGAAAAACAAAAACAAACAAACAAACAAACAAACAAAAAACAGAAAAAAAAGAAAGCAGAACAATTTAAAAATATTTAGCAATTCTATTTTATGTCTATTGTTTTATTTCTAGATTTGTTAAAAATTAGAATATGAGAAGCTAATGGATAAAACTAGAAAACAATATTGAAGTGTGTTAATGTCAAATGACATATATTAATTGGCTCTTTTTTTTTTTTTTTTTTTTTTTTTTTTTTTTTTTTTTTTTTTTTTTGGCTATTGGGGTAGAGACAGTATCTTTCTATGTAGCCCTGGCAGTCCTGGAACTCAGTATTTAGAACTTACAGAGATCCACCTGCCTCTGCCTCCCAGGTGCTGGGATTAAAGGTGTGTGCCACTATACCTGACTATTAATTGGCTCTGGATCCTGCTAATTATTGCCAACAAAATTGTGTCCATGACATTTACATTTTTTTTCTGTAGATAGAAACTTCTTAAAACTACATATATTGATGTTCCACTGTCATCCAGCACTCTGGAGTCTGAAATAGAGGTTTGGAGTGAGTGTAAGACTCTGCCTCAAAATACACACACACACACACACACACACACACACACACACACACACACGCAATCACAAGGCTATAGGTTCAATTCCCAGCACCATACACAGACACACTGACATATATACAACAATAACAAGACCCTGCAACCCACAAAATAACCTGGCATGATGGCACAAGACTGCAACCCAGCACCTGGGAGGTAGAGGTGAGAAGGTCAGAAGGCCTTTCTCATCTACGTAAGGAGCTCAAGAGCAGCCTAGATCACATGAGACCCTGTCTCAAAAACAAAACAACAAAAACCTGAACAACCAAACAAAACATAAAACAGGGGCCGGGGGTTGTCAATGTTGGTAAAATGCTTGCTGTGCAAGCATAAGGGCCCGAGTTCAAATCCCTAGAGCCCACGTAAAGAGCCTGGTGCAGCAGAGTGCATCTCTAAGCCCTGTGTCAGGAGGCACAGACAAGCATGATGGAGCTTGCTGGCCAGCCAGTCTAGCTGTGTTGTCAAGTTCAGTGAGAAGTACTGTTTCAAAAATTAAGTGGAAAATGATAGAAAAAGATACCTGATTTTGATTTCTGGTCTACACACACACACACACACACACACACACACACACACACACACACGACACAGACATACCTCCCCATGTACACACATAAACACATATAGACACATATACCAAGATATAGACCAAGAAGAAGAAGAAGGAGAAGGAGGAGAAGGAGAAAGAGGAGGAGGAGGAGGAGGAGGAGGAGGAAGAGAAGAAGATTTTCTTTGAAAAAGGAGGATGAGAGAAAGGGCAGAGAGGCCCCTCTCTCTCTGTTCCCTTTCACGCTAGACTGTGGACGTGGTAGTGACAAGTGGGCTTGGATCACACGGGTAAGATAGAATGAGCCTGGAGGCTAATATACTAATATGCCTGCTTATGCAGACATGGTTGTGATGGAGAAAGACAGGTTTTATCTTGTTTGAGTGGTGACTATTATGGATTCCTGCTAGAGCGGCTGAATCTATATTATAACAATGCTGTTTATTCACACGGGTTAGGGTTGTTATTTCTACAGAGTGAACAGAGACTGCATTGATGTACTGGGGACTATTTTTCCCTTGTCAGGGAAGCAGTAGTTTCCAGCAGCTTGGCTAGGTCAAAAATTTAGTCGTCTTTACCTTTTGAGACAGTTTCACTAAAGAGTCCAGGCTGCCCTTTATAGTTGGCTTTGAACTCACTGTGTAGTCCAGGTTGGACAGAATGCAAGATCTGTCTCCTGAGCATCAGGATGCCACCATACCTGGCCTTTTAGTTTATTATTTATTCATTTATATAGTTAGTTTCTTAGCTTTTTGAGGTAGGGCTTCTCTGTGTGGCCCTGGCTGTCCTGGAACTCTTTCTGTAAGCAGGCTACCCTTGAATTTACAGAGATCTGCCTGCCTCTGTCTCTGCCTGTGCCTCCCAAGTCTTGGGATTGAAGGCGTGCACCACCACCAGCCGGCTTATACCTGGCTTTTTTTTTTTTTTTTTTAATGAGCTTTATTGATCTGAATATATTAATTTGATATGTTTCCATTTGGGAAACCAGTTTCATAATAAAACAATAGCCACAGCTGCCATCCATCACCATCTCTTTACTGGCCTATTGTGACACTGTCCTGAGAGGTTGTCTGGCTTCCACTCTTGATTTCTCCACTTCATTCTCCATTTGGAACCTACAATGTTCCTTTGAAAATGAGAGCGTATTGATATGTGATTTGAAACCATTTAGTGGCTTCCAGGGCTGGGGAGACGGCTCAGTCAATAAATACCAGATAAACATGAGAACCCGAGTTCAGATCCGTAGAACCCACATAGAAACACAGTCATGGCAGCACAATTATATAACACTAGTGCTAGGGAGGCAAAGACAGGTGGGTCCCTGGAGTCATTGGCCAGCTCATCTAGTTAAGTAAAGAGGCTTGTCTCAAAAAAAAAAAAAAAAAAAAAACCAAGTAGTTGAGGAAAGAAACCAAACCTCACTGCCCTCTGTACACACCTGCTCACAGTCACAACTGCACGATACACAGACACACCACACACATGTACTGTAACACACCCCACCATCTACACGCATGGAAATTTAAAAAATAAATAGCATGAAATGGTTTGATGGCTTCCAACCACACTCAAAAGGATGCCCTAACTATACAAGGCCTTTCTTGACCTAACCTCGCTCCTCTCTCCCCTGGCATCCTCCACCATCTAGCCGCATTGATTCTTTGTTTTTATTTTTCCAATACGTCCCTTTTTGTTTTTCAAGACAGGGTTTCTCTGTCCTGGACTCAATTTGTAGACCAGGCTGGCCTGGAACGCACAGAAATCCGCTTGCCTCTGCCTCTCACGTGCTGGGATTAAAGGCGTGCACCACCATGCCAGGCACCTTGTCCCATTTTGAGCTATGTTTGTGAGTGTATACGTATGTGTGTGAATGAGTGCATGCAGAAGACAGAGGACAACCCGGGTATTGTTCTGTAGGTACCACACACACACACACACACACACACACACACATGCGCACACACACGCACATAATTTTTAACTATGTATGGCTGTGCCTGTGTGGACAGATGCCATGTGTATGCAAGTGTCTTCAAAGGCCGGAGGCATTAGATCCCCTGCAGCTGGAGTTACAAGCAATTGTGAGTCTCCTGAATGTGGGTGCTGGGAATCACACTCAGGTCCCCGTAGCTGCTCAACTTTCCAAGCTGGCTGGCCAGCACGTTCTAGTGCATGCCCTGTGCCTACTTCCCCAGTGCTACAAGGCTCTGGTGTTGTTTGTTTATTTTTGTTTTTGTTTGATTCAGGGCAGCAAACTCAAGCTTTTGTCCAAGGCACTTTGCCAAGTGAGTCATCACCTCAGTCTCAAATACTTAGTTGCTTTGGTTCCCGCTGTCCGGGATACTCTTTCGTCAGTTCTTTTTTTTAATTTTTTTTAACTTTTTCGGGTTTCCCTTCAAATGTTTCATTGTCCTAAAAATGCCCCACGTTTAAGTGACCTCCACTCATCTAGAATTTATTATTTTTAATTATGCACACATGTGCGCATGAGCTTATTCGTACAGGTGCTTGAAGAGGCTAGCAATGTTGGGAAATGGAGATAGGGGTGGTTGTAAGCCGTCTGACGTGGTGCTGAGAGTCCAACTCTGGCCTCTGGAAGAGGAGTCCATACTCTTCAACTCCTGACCCATCTCTCCAGTTCCTAATTTAAATTCAGTTTTAAAAACTGAACTTATTTAGTGTATGTGTGCATTTATAAGCATGTGTGTGTGTGGGGAACACGCCTGTCAGGAAGTCAGAGGATAACTTGTGGGAGTCACTTCCCTGTACCAAGTGGTTTCTCAGAATTGAACTCACGTAGTTAGGCTCGGTGCAACCACCTTTGCTGCCTGGACCATCTTGTCCACCTGACCTTGAACTTCTGTCCTCCTGCCTCTACCTACTCGGATCATAGGCACGCACCACCACACACCTGTTTTGGCGGTGCTGTGCATCAATCCCAGAGTTTCAAGTGTGCTAGGCAAGCACCCTGCCAAGCAAGCTCCAGCCCCATCCAGGAATCTGATTTCAAGAAACACACGCGTCTTGTCTTGAGAAGCACTGTGTCTGGCAGATCTTTGAGGATTCTTCTTTTTGGATGAATATTCCAACCATACCTTCCAATAGTCTTACTGACATGTCTGAAGCTGGGGACTTTATATATCCCTGATAGCACAGGGATATTAGCTGAAGGACTGAATGGTTGATGAGCTCACCCCACAAAGCTGTTTCAACTGTGCAGCCCAAACGAAGATGTTCGTGTATGTGTGGAAAATAAGAGCGAGCCACACCTCAGCGGTTACACGTTTATCAAATTTAATCGGAATTCCCAATACTTAGGGCCACCTGTCTCATGGCAGAGTGGTTGAGTAGTAGTTTCACGTTTGCGCAGGCGCAGCGGGAAGACCAGCAATTAAACCTGAACGCGCCCTTCCCCCGTCCCTTTCCGGCTCACGTCTAACGCAGGCGCACACAGTGCTCCAATATGGCGGCCTCCGTGGATCTGGAGTTGAAGAAGGTAAAGGGGGCTTTTGAGCAGACGGAGCCTTCCGTCTGAATGATGAAGCGAGTGGGGGCAAGACTAGGGGAGGAGGCTGGAGGCTCGCTGAAGGAGGGAGGCTGGAGGGGGCGGGGTCTGGCCTGCCGGGGTCCGGACACGGGGACCGCTCGGCTTCAGGTGGGGGCTCTGGCTAGCAGGAGCTGCTTCGGGCGGGTGGCCGAGCGGGTTGCTGGGTCTCGGGATGGGCTGCGGTGCGTCCTTACGTTCCGAACTCCAGAAGTCATCTGTCTGTGCTTTGGAGACGTCAGGGACCCAATTTCTTAGCAAGACCCGAAGACCGCGTCTCACACTGATGCCCTTCAGAGTGCTTGCTGGGGCCGAGGCACCTGTAATTTGATTTCTTCTTTTGAATTGAAAAACTCCAGGTTCAACCTTTGCTTTTTTTAGCTTATTTATTTTATGCCAAATACCTTGAAAAGTTCTTTGTGCCTACACCTCAGAAAACCAGCCATTTTGTTATAGTAATGTTCATGTCAAAGCCTTAATTCTCCCTGCCCATCTCCTTTTTAAAGAACTTGCCCGCCCTTCTCCGTCCCCCTTCTTTGCTCTCCCTCAAAAAAAAAAAAAAAAAAAAAAAAAAAATTCCAGTAAGGTTTCCAAAAAAGCTATCAGAGGAATTGGTTTATTTCTGTTCAATCAGTTGCTTATAAATGGTTTTGTTGTTAGTTTGCATTGTTTTTTTTGTTTTGAGTCAGTGTCTCAGTGTGTTCTAAATTGCCTGGGACTCACTATGAAGGCAGGCTGGCCTTGAACTCCAGGCAGTCTTCTACCTCAACCTCTTGAGTTCTGAAATTACAACCTTGAGCCTGTTCATAAATGGGTTGTTAATTGGAAACTTTTTTTTTTTTTGCCACTTAAAAGTCTTAGGACCCTAATACTTCTAAGACTTTAGACTGTGCTTCCTTTGTGGAGTGGTTGCTGTAATTAGAAAGGATCCTAGAATTCGTTCAGTTTAATTCTACTTTTCTAGAAAGGTAAACTTCTAGTGTTTTCTGGTATGTGGTTTGGTTTGGTCAGGTCTTGAACCCCTGCTCTTTAGTGCCCCTACCTCCTGAGTATTAATTAGGATAATAGACATGTGCTAGGGTCACCGGCAAGAAAAGTCTAAAAGATTGAGCTCCAGGCAGCAAGATGGGTCAGTGGATGCAGGCACTTGCTGGGTGCCCTGGCTGCTTAAGTTCTGTCCCTGGAACCCATGGTGGAACTGCTTAAAGGTGTACTATAATGTCCCAGAGGCACACCCTAATTCACTGGCCCGTACTCAGACAACAACCATAAATACATTTTTTAAAACCTGGCCTAGAATTTGGTGTTATCTTTGATCAGTGGGTTCTTTAGATGAGAAACATTTTTAAAAGTTGTTTATTTGTGTGTGTGTGTGTTTGTGTGTCTAGACATACCTTCAAGGAGCTTAGTGGAGGTCAAAGAACAACTTTTAGTTGTTGGTTCTCTCTTACCAAATGGCCATCACACTCTGACCGTAAGAGAGTGGCAGTCACTCAGAGGTCATCACACAGTGCTATCCCATGATGTCCACAGCACGATATAGTGGCCTCTGCCTTGGCAATCATACAGTACCGTCACCCAATGGCCCTTAACAAAGTCTATCACACAGTGATCATCAAACAGCGGTCATAAACAATTGACCATGACATTGTGGTCAGCACAATGTGGTCAGCACGCTTGTCACCACAAAGGACATTATAAGGTGGTCATCAGGCCTTCTAGGCAGGCTGAGCCATCTCACTGGCCCAGATTCTGGTTTGTTTCATTTTCTGCCCTAGAGACAGTCTCATGTGGTCTGGACTGGCCGGGAACTTGGCTGTGTCCCCAGTGCTAGGATTTGCACCAAGGGCTTCTGACTGTTTATCTTGGTTTTTGAGAAAAGGCTTCTCACCGTAACCTAGGGATTGCCGCTTTGGCTAGATTGTCTAGTGAGCTGCAGGAACCCTTTTTCTCTGCTTCCATGCCTAGCATTAAACAACAAGTTGTATTTTTATGTGTGTGAGTGTCTTGCCTGCTTGAATGTCTATTTGTGTGTGCAGCCCCCACAGGCTAGAAGAGGGCTTTGCATCCCCCCGAAACTGTAGTTACAGGTGGTCAGGGGCTGTTGTCTGGGTGCTGGGAACCAAACCTGGTCCTCTGCCAGAGCAGCCAGTACTCTTAGTCCCTGAGCCATTCCTCCAGTTTCCAAGCTCAGCTTTCTTTGTCAACTGGGGAGTGAACCTTGGGTCAGCCGAGTGAGCTGTTTCCCTAGCTCCCAGTAACATCTTAAGTAGCTGCCTCTGGTTAACCTTTGCCTAAGCAATACGACAGCTGAAATAGCTGTTGTTACTAATAAAAGAAGCCATTTGTTATTGTTCTGGGGATGCTAACTAAGTATGTGCATCTTGCTTCTTGCCATTCTTGTCTTGAAACATGTAAACTTAGCCTTATACAGCATTCTCTCATGCTGTAAATCTCAGCCTTTAAACTTTTTTTTTTTCCTTTTTTGAGACATGGTCTTACCATGTTTCCCCGACCAACTAGCCTGGAACTCACTATGTAGACCAGGCCAGCCTTGAAGTCACAAGAGATCCTCCTGCCTCTGCCTCCTGAGTGTAGAAATTAAGAGTGTGTACCTCTATGCTGACATGTAAATCTCCGCTATATATACATATATATGTGTGTGTGTATATGTATATTTGTGTGCAGGTGTGGGAACGTGCCATGTGCCATGATGCTAGTCAGAATATGAGGAGGTCAGAATATAATTTGGGGGGCTAGTTTTCTCTTTTTATTGTGTGGGTTCAGGTTCCAGGGATGGAACTCAGGCTGTTAAGCTTGGTAATAAGTACATTTACCTACTGAGCCATCTCATGGACCTCTGTCTGCCTGTCTGCCCATTTGTCCGTCCATCTATCCATTTACCCATCCATCCACCCTCTATCTATCCATCCATTCATCTGCTCATCCATTCATATATCCAGATAGATTAAAAATTAATATTAAGATGTGTGTGGACACACGCACGCATGTGTGCATGTGCGAGTACGCTTAAATGTTCACACGGATGCTGTGTGCCAAAATGCACATGTGGAGGTTAGGGGCAACTCAAGGGAGTCAGTTGTCTTACCATGTAGCTCCCAGGGATCAAACTTAGGTCATCAGACTTGGTAGCAAATGCCTTTATCTGCTGAGCCAATCTCACTGGCCCTAAAATAAAAACCTTCTGTGAGACAGGGTGTCTCTTGTAGCCCAGGCTGGCCTTGAGTATCTTATGTGTCTGAGTCCCAGGTCACCTCCTGATCCTGATGCTTCCAGCTCCTGGTTGTTAGGATTTTAAGCGTGAGATCCCAGGTCTGGCCCTCCAGCCAGGTGTTTGAAATGTGAGGTGCTGTGGATTCTAGTTGTGTAATACAGGTGTGTCAAGTTGTTTCTTGCTTTGGATCTCTGGGTTTTATCTCATGAGTATTTTATTTTATCTCCTTTTATTATCCTCTGGTTACTTGATATATGGTTATTTTTAAATGCACATTTGTTTTCCTTATTCATATTGATTGCACCATCTATGAATAGGGTCGGTGAATAGGGTCCATTTAAAATTTGGTATAATATTACTATTCCGTTTACTCTGATTTATGCTTATTTTGGTAAATTTCACAGCTTTGTCTGGTCAGCATGTTCTGTTTTTTAATATATCTGGGATTTGACATAAATGCTTCCTTTAAAATGTTAACTTACTAAATCAAGCACTTGTTTTTCTTAGGCCTTCACAGAGCTTCAAGCCAAAGTTATTGATACTCAGCAGAAGGTAAAGCTTGCAGACATACAGATTGAGCAGCTAAACAGAACGAAAAAGCATGCACACCTAACGGACACAGAGATTATGACGCTGGTCGACGAAACTAACATGTATGAAGGTGTAGGAAGAATGTAAGTGACACATAGCCTTCACGGCGTTTTCTTGTGAGTGCTTTTGGGTGAAGGAAATGCTGGGATTGGTCTTTTTAAAGGTTGGGGTTAGGGGCTAGAGAGATGGCTCAGTGGTTAAGAGCACTGTCTGCTCTTCCAAAGGACCTGGGTTCAATTCCCAGCACCCACATGGCAGCTCACACCTCTCTATGCCCCCAACCCCAAGGGATCTGACACCTTCACACTAGTGCACATAGAATGAAAGTAAATAAATTAGTAAAATACTTAAAAAAAAAAAAAAGTTGGGGTTAAAAAAAGGAAACCCCCAGCAGTATGTATGCTTGTATACTTGTCCTCTTCTTTCCAACAAAAACAATTTTTTTTTTTTTTGAGACATGGTTTCCTGAAACTCACTCTGTAGATCAGGCTGGCCTCGAATTCAGAGATCTACCTGCCTCTGCCTCCTAAGTGCTGGGATCAAAGGTGTGCATCACCACCACTTGGGAAAAAAAAAAAAACAGATTTTTATTTTTTATTTTTTGTTTTTTTTGATACAGGGCTTCTCTCTGTATAGCCTTGGCTGTCCTGGGCTCGATCTGTAGACCAGGCTGGCCTCGAACTCACAATGCCTCTGCTTCCCTGAGTGCTGGGATTACAGGTGTGTACCACCACACCTGGCAAAACCAGATTTTTACAATTTATTTGAAATTGTTTTTAGTGAGTGAAAATAGAGACCGTTTATGGAGAAAGGAAGACCACTCCTGAGAACGTGAGTGGCTAGTGAGCAGGAAAAGTTTAAAAGTCCTGGTTATTAATAATTAACCACTTCCATTACAGGTTTTTTTTTTTCCTGTGAAGAAAAGGTATTCTCCTTATGAGAGAGATTAAGTGTACTTCATGTTTTCTGAGAAAGTGAAGAATGGGAAGCCCTGTGTATGGGCCACATTCCATTACGGTTAGCTAAAGGGGAAGGACTGATGTTTTAAAGTGGGGAGTGGGGCTGTTATGTACTAGGTGGACCTTTAAGTTTGGAGATCTTTTAGTTAGAAAGGAATGTGACCTCGGTCTCGAGATGACTTGTGTTGTGATTGACTGGAAGGAAGCCTAACATGTGTAAAATTCTGTAATGACTTTAGAATGACATCATGACGAGGTGACCCTTCCCATGACTAATTCATTCTTTCTGCTAAGAAAGAAGTGACGATGAATGTTGGATTTGCCTTCTCAAATGAACCGTATACGTTTTCTCTTCAGTTCATGGTGTTCATTTTGACTTATTTTGTGAGTTTTTGTGTTTATTTTTGGGACAGTCTCCCTCTGTTGCTCACTCTGGCCTCAGCCTCACCGTGTAGCAGGGGTGACTGAGCTCCTAGTCCTGCCCCCACGTCACCAAGCGCTGGGGTTACAGGTGTGCAGTATCAGCTCTGGTGTTTGAGGTTGTTAGTGGTGCAGAACAGAAGGAGAGCAGAGCAGAAGCCTTGATTGTGTGTCGTGTATCGTGAAATGCATTCTTGGCATTCAGTGCTGGGTAATTTTATCCCTCAATTTGAATATCCTTAGGTCTTAGAACAGTAATGCTAGCCTATTAATATCCTTGAACTTCACATTATTACTTTAGTCTTTGTTTATAATAGCTAAAGAATTTTTTCTTTTTCTTTTTTTAATAGACAGTCTCTCTATGGAGCTGGCTGTCCTGGAACTCATTATGTAGACCAGGCTGGCCTTGAACTTACAGGTAATCACCTGCCTCTGCCTCCTGAGTTCTGGGATTATATATGTACCCTCGTGCTGAGCATTTTTTTTTTTTTTTTTAAATCAAGGACCCATGTAGCCCAGGCTAGCTTACTGCTAGCTTTCCAGAGAGCTTGGGCATCTGACTTTCCATCTCCCAAGTGCTAGGGTTCCCCAGGTAGGCTCTATTGAAATTAAGGTTTTCAATTTTAAAAACGTTTTAAATTTTAATTGTTTTATGTGTAACTCTAAGGATCAGTCCTAGGACTGTGTGCATGTCGACAAGTCCTCGGCCTCCGAGCTGCACCCCCAGCCCCGAAGTTTTATATTTAATTAGGATACTGTCATTTGATAAACATTCTGCATAAGTGTTGTGAGTTCCTTTTCTTTTTTTTTCACACTGTCCAAAGTTCTACAGATAGAGAGGTAGTATTCCATGCCAAGAATTACAGAGTTTAAAGGCTAACATATAAGTATTTAATGGTAGAATGGTGTTATTTCATATAGATTATGTTTCTTGAGAGAAATGTGCATTTTTAGAGTTTAGGATGAGCCTTGGCTTTAAAATGAGCTTCATCACATTCCGCACTTGGTGCGGTGTGAGTTTGCCCTGCGTCGTAGGGCATGTGAGGTGAACAGTGTCTGTTATTTGGCCAGAGTATTGGTGCCTCAGGGCTGGAGAGGCTTGCAAGTGCCAGTCTGGTCATGAGGATGTTCCCTTTCTTGATGCTAACCCTGGAATACCTACTTCTGAATTTATGGTCTTGAGTAATCTTGAGTCTCACTGTTGTTCATTTCTTTAATTCTAGCCCTTACCTTCTTTTTTAAGTACTACTGGGGAATTCTGATTACGTGAGTTTACCCCAATTTGTATTTTGAAACAAGATTTTAAAATCTAAAACCCTGCTTTTATTTTAGAGCCTGCAGTAGATTTTTCTACTTTTCTTTTGACTCACAATTACTGTTGTTGTTGTTTTGAATGCTGAATATTGAGCTGGGACCTCATCCATGCTAGACAAGTGCTATATCACTGAGCTACATTTTGAGATAGAACTGGTTCCATGTAGCTCCGCCTAGCCTGCATTTATTATAGTAGCCAAGATAGTCTTGCGCTCCTGTCAAGACCTCACCTCCCTCACCTCCCAGGAGTGAGATTATAGGTAGAGCTGATCCTGCAGTACCACCTCACTTACCCTTTCTGCTCTCCTGTCTGTTCACACCCATCCTTCACAGAGCCAGAATCGATCACTCCTCACAGAACCTTCATCTGTCACTGCAGGAGGAAATCTAGACTTGTTAGCCTCACATGCATGCTCATATTCTCTGCCTTTAATTGGCCCATCTAGCCTCAGGTCCTACTCCTTCCTATTTTTATACTCAGAATAGCACAGACATTTCATCTTACGGTCCTTGCTTTTTAGTTCTTTTCAGAAGGACTTTGAGACGTTGTGTGGTTTTTCATATGCTCTGGCTGCTTGGTGATGTCTTGTCCTGGGCTGAGGGAAGAAGAGACCGAGCATATGCACCGGATGTTTTTGTGTTTTCATATATGTCATGTTTGGATCTTTGTTGATATTTGAGACACGGTTTCTCTGTGTAACCGTTGCTGCCCTGGAACTTGCTCTGTGAACCAGGCTGGCCTTGAACTCAGAGTGATCTGTCTGTCTCTGCCTCCCAAGTGCTGGGATCAAAGGTTGTGCCACCCCCACGCGACTTGGAGCTTTGTTTATTCTGTTGTTGGCCTTCAGTATTCCTCTTTCTCTTGTGAAATTCTCATTCTTCCAGATACTGGCTCACGCCAGGCTGTGGTGCTACACTTTTTTAATCCCAGCACTTAGGAGGCAGAGGCAGTCAGATCTCTGTGAGTTCAAGGCCAGCCTGGTTTACAGAGCAAGTTCCAGGACAGCCAAGGATACACAGAGTAACCCTGTCTCTAAACTATTCCCCATCCTCCAAAAAAAGGTACAGCTCAGATCTTGGGATGTTTTTGAAACTTGTCCAGATTTATCCCTTTTTTTTTTTTTTTTTTTTTTTTTTTTTTTTTTTTTTTTTTTTT